AGGACATGAAGACTCTGCAACAGAGGCTTTGCCTACAGATATGCCTTTACCCTACTGCAGTTTATGTAGCTCTCCCAACGCTGACTCACCTTGCATTACACCGAACTAGGCCAAACTAGCTTCAATTAAGGGTAATTACCGTTTCTCAGCTGGCAGGCAGCCATTTGCCAGCCCAGAGTAACTAATGCCTAAGCCCAGAGGCTACGCCTGTGCTTCCACACCTATTCTTTCCTTAGCAGGTGCCCTGAGGTTTAACTGGGAGCTGCTTCCCCACCCCTGTTCTCCTACCTGGAGAGTCCAGGAGGCCACACACCATACAGAGGTATCATCGTATACAAACCTACACCTGTTTCAGGAAGAGGTTCAGAATGACAATTAGGTATTAAAGATATGCAGACACCTTAGCAGGGATTTTGCAGCTGAGTGTGGAGCACCCTGGGCTCCTTCCCCTTGGAAGGGGATGCCATGCTGCCAATGCTGGAGCGTGGTGCCAAGTGACAGCTGAGCCCAACCCAAAACCTAGCCGGAATCATTATTTTATCCATAATTGGAGCTGAGCCTGAACTGTAATTTGGAAATTTTCTTGAAGTGTGAGTTGAACGAGCATCAGCCACAGCTGAATGCCATCTAGCATTTAAGCAAAACCCCTTGGTGTTCAGACTTCCTGCAGAGGGGGGGATTTTAAATTACCATAATTTGCATGCCAGCTTGCCAGAAAGAAGATGTAGAATGCGCAACTTCATATATTTATTAACCACTTCTCACTGCCTTCCTCTTCAAAATTGTTCCTGCCACGCTCTTCTGGATGGTTGTCACATAAGACGTGCCACCAACACGTGGTTGCCTGCAGCGCTGTCCTGGATCTCCCCAGTTTCTATGGCAGGAACAGCCTGGCCTTTCCTCTTGAAGGTGGCATAACTTCCATTTTGCTCCATTTTGCTGTTGCTTGTAAAGCACCTGGTGTTTCGGGGCGATCCCAGCCCCTGCTTGCCTGCAACCTTGGTGGGCAGCCGTGGGGAGCTGTACCTGTGGGCCAGCTTGGACCAGGCAGGACTAGACCTGACTCCTCACTCCTGTCCCAGCCTCCCCAGGGGACACTGATGGCTCCTCAGGGGGACCCAGTTCTCTTTCATGGATTTTTTTTTCCCCAGTGAAAGTGTTTTCCAGCAGACACATCCATGCTGGGAGCAGCCTCTGATTTGCCCTATGCTAGATGATGCACATATGTAGAAAAATGATAGTGTGAGAGGTCTTCCCTTTGCTCTCTATCAAAAGAGCTTAACAGGAAAAAAACACGAATAAAAAATAATATAAGAGAAGATTGCCATCTGTGTTTGAGCTACCTAAACCATGCAAACCACAGGAAAAACAGCCTGTGACAGGTCTAACTAGGCTGGGGTCCAGGGAGCACACACCCACCTCAGCCTACAAAAAGTCCAAAGCTTAGTCGTGAGTGCAAAGAGCAAACAGTGCGTGCGGCGGTGCAACTGCTGCGTGCGACGTCTGGGCTGACCCCACTGCGGCGACCCTCCCGGTGAGTCCCCTCCTCCACTATCGTCTGTCTTTCCCACATGCAGCCTTCATAGAAAGGAAACCAAATTACAAATGGCCTTTTCTTTTTTTTTTTTTTTAAAAAAAAAGCTCGTTTGCCATTGAATTCACTCAGTTACAACGATCTTTTTGATTGCCATTTAGGTTAGGTCTGGTGGCTAAAAGAAAATAACATTAGAAAGCCTCCTGGGGATGTGCAGCTCTGCACCTTTCAGCAGATGCTGCAAAGACATTTTGGAAAGAAGGTTTCAGGGAGAAATCAGAAACTTGTTGGCTGCTCGATGCTGGCCAAGTCACCTCTGGGTTGTACGAAGCAGATCTCAGCCTTGAGATCAGCTTTGGGCAACCTGGTCTAATGGAAGGTGTCCCTGCCCATGACAGGGGGCTTGGAACTTGATGGTCTCTAAGGTCCCTTCCAACTCAACCCATTCTACGAAAACCTTTTGTGAGGCTGTTGCCACCAGAAACTTTGCTGTATGGAACCCTGGCTGGGAGAGGAGCATTTTACACTTGTTTCCACAGATCTATCCAACATCATTCACATATGCATGGTTGTGACTAGTCTTAATTTTTGCATTTTAGTATTTATGTGTGATGTGTGGTATATCTGTTTTATAAGTATTATACAGGTGGATCCTTTCAATCTGCTCACATATTTTTACTGGCATAAGTTCTGCACCAAGCTGTAGCATTAGTATGCTTTGGCCATTTACTTTCCTTGGTCATCTGCTTTGAAAAGAAGTAAAATAAAAATACATGTCGTGGTTTAGGCCAGCTGGCAACTAAACTCCATACAGCCACTTGCTCACCATCCCCCACCCCAAGGAGATGGGGAAGAGAATTAAAGGGGAAAAAAGGAAAGAGACCCGTGGGTTGAGATGAGAACAATTTAATACTGCTAATAATATATGAATATATATATATGTACAATGATAAATATATAGAAACAAGCGATGAGCAGTGTAACTGCTCACCGCCCCTTGACCAAGGCCCATCCCATCCCAGACTAACGATTCCAAAACAGGTAAGTCTCGACACCACAATCCCGAATCAGCAAAAGGCCCGAAAAAAGAGCAACAGAGAGAGAGAGAGCACTCTGAGAGTCCGAAAGTGAGAGCCCCGGAAGAGCACAGCCCTTCTTTTTGGCTGACCCTCGTTTTTATACTGGACATGATGCTGCATGATATGGAATACTAATTGGCCAACTTGGCCTTCAATCCTAAATCTAAGTTCAAATCACAAGGGAAGTTGTGGGCCCTCTGTCCCAGCCATGCTCCCCCCTATCCAGTTGTGCTCCTGCACACCGGCAAGAACACGGGAAGCTGAAAAGTCCTTGAGGTCTCAGTGCCAACTGTAAACATTACTGCACTATCAACATTCTTCTCATAACGAGTCTCAGACTAAACCCAGAACACAGAGCTCTTCTAGCTGTTAAAAAGAACTAACTCTGTCCCAGCTGAAACCAGGACAATACATTTTGAGTTTCGTGCATCAGAAATTCAACTGTTACGCACAGGGTACAGGTGGCATTGTTAAAAGCCAGGTACTAAATTTATGCCTGGGCTTGAAACCCCAGGCATCAGTATAATTCTGCATGTAGTTCTGTATCTCAATATTTAAAAACTAAGAGCACATACTTATGACTATTTTTAGTTCTTCAATCTATTTTTAAGCAAATACTCTGTGCATAGACTAATGTTCTTTTTTCACAAAAATCTTATGCTGCCAACCTTGCGTCTAAATAATTCATATGCATTAAAGTTGCTTCATAGAGGTAAAAAAAAGAAGGATTAGCTCCTAATCTGTTTTTCTGAACACAATCATTTCTAAATAGAAAGAAATAGCTGTATTATTTTTTACCAGGTTCCAAAACCCTGTAAATATTTCCTGCAAGCATTTGCTTCAGCACCATGAGCAGACAAAGGGATAAAGGCAGTTCAGGCCAGAGGAGACAAACACCGAGACATGGCTACAAACACACTCGTCATCCCAAAAAGTAGCCGCTTACAGTAAATTGGCTCTGCTAACGAACTTGCTAACTCAGCTAACCCTAACACAGGCTGGGGAGGTGAACTGCACGCAGCATCAGTTCGTGCCCTGAGTAACACCAGGGAAGGTGCTTTTAGTCAGGTGTGGTGAGTGGTTTGGCTCTGTGAGGCGACCTCTCGGTTGTGTGACCTGCTTCTGAAGGCGCTGATGTCCAGAGGAAAGGTCTGTGCTAACTGAAGGTCCCGGTAGCGCCGGTTGGACCCGCCTTGTGTTGTCCCGGAGCTTCATGTCCAAGCACTAGCACAAATGCGCTGGTGCAGAACGTGTTAAATACTCAGGAGTGCATGGCTTGTGTCAAGCCCACCAAGCTCAGCTAAATTTTGTGATGGTAGACTGACTTGAAAAGCAATCTGCAGGAGGAAAAACAGTATTTTCTTGTTTACCAGGGCATAATGATCTGCTGTGCAGGCCAACAGCAATGAGCATTGCACTTAGACTCACAAATAAGAAAGAGACGTTGCAGGCAGAGGTTATCAGTTGCTGCAGAGGATGCAAATATTTTAATACTGCAAACCACTACTAAAGGCAGGTACTTCTCCTTGTTAGTTGTTAGACAATTTAAGAGACACATTTCATTTTTTCTCACAAAACTTTTGGAAGACATGGTGCTTTCAGATGACTTTCTTTTTTAATGTGTGCACTGGGGACTCTACATATTATTAAAAGTGAGATTGCAGTGTCTCTAGTACATCAAAGGACTTAATCAGCAAAGTGCCATAGAGAAGCCGAAGACCTAATGTGGGCTAAATGTAAATTTGAAAAATGGAAACATCTAAATAATTCAAAACAGCTACATCAATTTCTGTGTGGTTTATTTGTCTCCCATCCAGACTCATTTCGAAGGGTTGAGGTTTTTATGAAAAGAAGAAGAAGAAGAAAGAAAAGAGTCACGGTTCTGCTTCAAAGCTGTTTCAAATCAGTTGTTTTTCCCCCATCTTTCCTCTTCAGGTTACGGCGCCTCCTTCAAGTCTAAGTAAAGATCTGGCTGAAGATGGCTGTTGCAAGCGTAGTGAGTACACAGCTACGCTGCTTGTAATCTCCGTTTTTCTTTCCCCTCTCTTTGCCTCCATCAGTTTTCTTCTTCTCTTGAGCCAACAGTGCTGTCCCACCATAGCAGTAACACAAAGCCTTCTTCCTCACCTCTTTCCAGGTTGGGGATTTTGCATTTTGTTACGTATTTGAAGCTGACAAGCCAACAGTGTTTCGAATGATCTGACAGAGATAATGCTCTCACCACCTACTGTTTTAATAACTGAATTCGGCTGGAGGCTGTCAACTGCTATTTTGTAAAAAGTTGGTTACTCAACAGGTCATTTTTATAAGTCTCTGCTGTGCCACACATACAAGCAGTCTGAAACGTGCCATGTTTCGCTGGCAGCCTTTGTGCTTTCCCATCTAAAATGGAATATATTTGGGATCTTCAACTGCGTCTGGTGGAGGGGGCAAATTTATGCTTTACCGAGCCACCTCTCAACACAAATGTGCCTGATGTCCCATTGCAGGTCACCCACCCAGGCAAGACCAGCCTAGATTACTACAGGAATGACAGTGGGATGCTATCCCTGTATGGAAACCTGATGAATGACACCAACTTCACGTGCGACAAGAGGCAGGTCAAGCAGTTCGCTCGAGCCTTCTTGCCAGTGTTTTTCTGGCTCATCTTCTCCGTGGGCACAGTGGGGAACGCCCTGGTTGTGCTCATGTATTGCAAATACCGCTTCAGGAGAAGCATGATGGATCAGTACCTGGTGCACCTAGCCATTGCGGACCTGCTTCTCCTCTTCACTCTCCCCTTCTGGGCCAAGGTTGCCTCTGATGGCTGGATCTTTAAGAACTTCATGTGCAAAGTCGTCAACAGCATGTATAAGATCAACTTCTACAGCTGCAGCTTGTTCCTAACCTGCATCAGCTTTGATAGGTACGTCACTATTGTCCAGGTGACGAAAGTGAAAACTTCTAAGCGAAGGCGGCTCCTGCGCAGCAAACTCATGTGCTTGGCTGTCTGGCTGACGTCCGTGAGCCTGTGTGTCCCAGAAATCATGTACAGCCAAAGCATGCAGGTGGGTGACGTATGGGTTTGCAAAATTACATACCCGCCAAACATCAGTGTGATCTTCAGAGTTACTGTCCTGGCCTTGAAAGTCACAATCGGATTCTTCCTCCCGCTCCTTGTCATGGTTATTTGTTACGCTCTTATCATCAACACCCTCCTGCAAGCCAAAAGATCCCACAAGCAAAAGTCCCTGAAGATCATCGCCATGATCATCACCGCTTTCCTTCTCTCTCAGTTCCCGTACAATATTGTTTTGCTGGTCAAAGCCATCAACACCTTCACCAGGGTGGCATACAGCTGTCAGGCTGCCGACCGGCTGGATGTTGGGCTGCAGGTCACCCAGTGCATCGCCTTCCTCCACAGCTGCCTCAACCCCTTCCTCTACGTCTTTGCTGGGGAGAGGTTCAGGACGGCACTGGGCACAATGGTGCGGAGCAGTGGCTGCTGGCGGAGCAGGGGCCAAGAGCAGTGCTCCTCTGCCTGCGACAGCCAGGAGCACAGCTCAAACTGGTCCTTCGCCATGCTGGGCAGGCGGCAGGTGAGAAGCTCGCTGAACCTCAGCACTCATTTGACTTCATCTGTTATGTCCCCTCCTTGCTAAGTCCTCTTGTAAGTTAGTGCCTCCTCTCTCCCCTCTGGAGGAGGATCGAACTCTTTGGAAACCCTCTGTCTACCCTCAAAGACTGTCTCAGACAAGCAGGGAGGGCTGAGGACTCCTCAGCATCCCATGCTTGCCATGTGGGACGCAGCCTGGGCTTGCTGGCTGAAAGAAAGGGAAACCTTCTGCACAGGGCAGCAAAATGGAGCCGTACTTGTAAGCAGAACTGACAGAGAATAAAAGCTATCTTTGTGACAGCTGTAAACACCTGGCCCATCTGAAGCTCAGACCACAACCTGAAATAATGGGCCTCGCAGGGAGGCGATAAGCCCAGCTACCGCAGCCATGGGGGCAGGTGAAGCAGGATGAACTGCCCGTCCAGTCCATAGGAAGCAGCAGGAGGGGTTCAGCCTTCATTTGCTTTCCAGCCAGCATCTCCTGCAGAGGTGGCCAGGTTCAGGAGCCCTGACTGCACCTACACCAGGTCCCGTCCACTGTACGGGGGAGCAGCCTTTAGCTCCTCCAGGGCTGCTGCAGCAGGCGGACGCTGCTGTCTGTGTCTGTGCAGATGCAAGTCTGTTTTGCTGTGCAGGCAGTTCATGTTGCAAGGGAAAGCCCATCTTTCATGTTCATAAATTGGTCATTACAGAATTAGATCTATCTTTCTCCTGTATTTTGGCCATGCAATGTGAAGTGAAATTGGGTACAGTTTATTTACTACAGCTCCTACTTTTATGCTGGAAACAAATCACACCTCGCAATAAAAATTCAAGGGCATCAGAGATGTGGAGTTGTCTGCCCCAGAGATATTTGCTGTATGGTGCAAAGGCATAGTAA